CACCGGAGGAGCTTACACTCTAATGCATAGTCGGAAAGAAGTTGTATTGTGGCCACAGGAATTAGTATTGTATCTACATATTTCACAGAGCTGTACAGCAAGTAATGAGCCATTTATTTCAGTCTCTACAACAGAGGATCGTACATGAATATATGTGTGTTTATAATATGCTCTTCCGTCATTCTGTCCAGGCATCATCTATAGAGAACACTGAGCCAGCGGTGAGCCGATTAGAGGGGACATTACTGTGATGGTGCGTATTGCTCCTCTATAATTTACATGTTACTGTGATAGTATCATTCTTTTGTAATCCGTATGGAACTGGGATGAATAGCATGAGTCTTTTATAATCTCTATTTTGCTGTCAAGCAAGTATCACCCATCTATAATGCTATACTAGTCAGCCAGGAGTTGCAGGATTTATTTATTACAGGTATTTTTGCATGTTGTGTTCTATAGTGACCACCACAATCTATATAACATACAGGTTCCGTATTGTGAAAATATAATAGTGCTGATTTTTCTGTGTTTTGATTAGCATCCAGTGTGGTGCAGGATTGACAGTTTTATGTGGTGGCAACACTCCAGATACTGGCAACTTGGTATAGGTCATCCACCTCTCTGCTTGCCTGAGAATTGCTCTTTCCACATCGGATTACTAGTCCTGTGTAGGATTTTGGCCAGATTAGTTTATGGTCTGGGTTTTAGGTCTAGCCAAAATCTTTTATTTCTGCTTTTATCCCTGACTGAAAGCGACACTAAACTCAGAAGTTAAATCTTAATAATGCATTCAAGTACCTTAACGGTTAACACAAATGTATCATATTTTGTGTATCACTCAGCGGTAAATCATCTCTGAATTGGTGCCGACACTGTCCTTCCTTCTGGAGGGTGGCTACTTTTGTTCCTCATGGTCCCTGTGTGTGTTGTAAAGTAGACACCACTCCAAGCTCGCTCCCATGATGGACTACAACCGGTTTTGCTCGAGTATCAGCAGTTACACAAGTATGCAAGTGTGCATCCTCTTCACTCTGATATGTTTCACCCAATAATGGGTTTAATCATAAAAAAGATTATCTCTTTGATTAAGCCCATTATTGGGTGAAACATATCAGAGTGAAGAGGATCCATGTCGGGAAGATGTGTACTTGTGTGCTACAATACATTTTTCAACTAAGCTTGTGGTGAGCAAATGGACTTTTTTTTTTCTGAGTAACTGCTCTTAAAAATATGTCATTATAACAAGTGTCCCCACTGGAAGATTTCCCTTCTACTCCTGTTCTGGTGAATCTAAATAGCAGGATACAGACCGCAAGCAAAACATTACAGAGCTAATAATCCTTGACCACTCTATGCAAAACAGATATTAAATATTTCATTCCATCATTTCTTGAAATGTTTTACCTCTTTTTAAAGATCAGCTCAGTAATTGCTTTTCATTTGCGTTGCTCTATTCTGTTGCTAAAGTTCACCAATTTAGCTCTTGAAGCGGACCTTTACCCATATCTTTAAATTAACAACAGACACACCTTTAGAAATGTTTAGTAATGACAACCTACAAACACATACTTCTAGATAAGTAGAAGTACGTGACGGCTTTGTATTCTTTGCATAGCTTATTTTCTAATTTCTAATAGTCTTCTGACATTGGCAATGTTTACTAAGGGCAGATTACTAGCTCTCCTTTTACTTCCTGGATTTTTGGCACATGTGACTAGACATGTGGCCATGCACATCATCTCAGGGGAGGAAAATGTCTTTCCCTGAGATCCCATGAGATTACAGATGAGATTTCCCAGCAATGCCCTGCTGATGACAAGGCAATCCCAGTATGCATTGCTTTTTTCAAACTGAAGTCATTTTGCCCTTTCAAAGCAGGAAGTGAATGTTCTATAAGTGTAAGTTTTTCGAAATCACAGCATTTTACCCCTGACATGTCTATGTTATTATTAGTCATCATACATAGAGGGATGCAATGGTAGAATCTGACTTTTGAGTGTAAAGGTCCGCTTTAACTGTCAACTGAGTCATTCAAACAAAAGTGAGATTATCACACGGGAGCATACATGTAGTGTGAGCATTCATGTAGAAGGTATGCCCTGAAAGTAATAGGATGTATATCTTTTGTAAAAGTATATACGGAGCCACTTGGGGAAGGGGGGAGGAGTCCGGTGACATCACGGACATCAACGTCACATGACTCCTCCCCCTTCCCTTCGTTAGCCGACGGAGCCACTTAGGGAAGGGGGGAGGAGTCCGGTGACATCACGGACATCAACGTCACATGACTCCTCCCCCTTCCCTTCGTTAGCCGACGGAGCCACTTAGGGAAGGGGGGAGGAGTCCGGTGACATCACGGACATCAACGTCACATGACTCCTCCCCCTTCCCTTCGTTAGCCGACGGAGCCACTTAGGGAAGGGGGGAGGAGTCCGGTGACATCACGGACATCAACGTCACATGACTCCTCCCCCTTCCCTTCGTTAGCCGACGGAGCCACTTAGGGAAGGGGGGAGGAGTCCGGTGACATCACGGACATCAACGTCACATGACTCCTCCCCCTTCCCTTCGTTAGCCGACGGAGCCACTTAGGGAAGGGGGGAGGAGTCCGGTGACATCACGGACATCAACGTCACATGACTCCTCCCCCTTCCCTTCGTTAGCCGACGGAGCCACTTAGGGAAGGGGGGAGGAGTCCGGTGACATCACGGACATCAACGTCACATGACTCCTCCCCCTTCCCTTCGTTAGCCGACGGAGCCACTTAGGGAAGGGGGGAGGAGTCCGGTGACATCACGGACATCAACGTCACATGACTCCTCCCCCTTCCCTTCGTTAGCCGACGGAGCCACTTAGGGAAGGGGGGAGGAGTCCGGTGACATCACGGACATCAACGTCACATGACTCCTCCCCCTTCCCTTCGTTAGCCGACGGAGCCACTTAGGGAAGGGGGGAGGAGTCCGGTGACATCACGGACATCAACGTCACATGACTCCTCCCCCTTCCCTTCGTTAGCCGACGGAGCCACTTAGGGAAGGGGGGAGGAGTCCGGTGACATCACGGACATCAACGTCACATGACTCCTCCCCCTTCCCTTCGTTAGCCGACGGAGCCACTTAGGGAAGGGGGGAGGAGTCCGGTGACATCACGGACATCAACGTCACATGACTCCTCCCCCTTCCCTTCGTTAGCCGACGGAGCCACTTAGGGAAGGGGGGAGGAGTCCGGTGACATCACGGACATCAACGTCACATGACTCCTCCCCCTTCCCTTCGTTAGCCGACGGAGCCACTTAGGGAAGGGGGGAGGAGTCCGGTGACATCACGGACATCAACGTCACATGACTCCTCCCCCTTCCCTTCGTTAGCCGACGGAGCCACTTAGGGAAGGGGGGAGGAGTCCGGTGACATCACGGACATCAACGTCACATGACTCCTCCCCCTTCCCTTCGTTAGCCGACGGAGCCACTTAGGGAAGGGGGGAGGAGTCCGGTGACATCACGGACATCAACGTCACATGACTCCTCCCCCTTCCCTTCGTTAGCCGACGGAGCCACTTAGGGAAGGGGGGAGGAGTCCGGTGACATCACGGACATCAACGTCACATGACTCCTCCCCCTTCCCTTCGTTAGCCGACGGAGCCACTTAGGGAAGGGGGGAGGAGTCCGGTCACATCACTGGATCTCCGACGGAACACCCGGAAGCCGGCGGAGAGGTGAGTACCGATCAAAAAAATTAACGATTAATCGAGGAATTAATCGTTAATTTCCGCAGCCCTACTAAATTTCCATCCTGTAATTGTCTGCATGACATCTTCTACAGAGTCCCGGCGGCAAAAGTCACCGGGAGTCTGTGTAAACAGCCCCGATGCTGGCGACGTACACTGTACGTCGTCAGTCACGAAGGGGTTAAAAAGGATCAAACAGCTGCTCCACGGAGATCGGGTGACGTCACGGACATCGACGTCACCTGACTCCTCCCCCCTTCCCAAGTGGCCCCGTCGGCTAACGAAGGGAAGGGGGGAGGAGTCCGGTGACATCACGGACATCAACGTCACATGACTCCTCCCCCTTCCCTTCGTTAGCCGACGGAGCCACTTAGGGAAGGGGGGAGGAGTCCGGTCACATCACTGGATCTCCGACGGAACACCCGGAAGCCGGCGGAGAGGTGAGTACCGATCAAAAAAATTAACGATTAATCGAGGAATTAATCGTTAATTTCCGCAGCCCTACTAAATTTCCATCCTGTAATTGTCTGCATGACATCTTCTTTTAGGGCCCATAATTAGTTAATAATCCCAAGGGAATAGCGAGCTACAAAATGTTCTCTGTGATAACACTCTCTTTATTTTATTCCTCTGAAGGACATTCTCACAGGAATTTGAGTAGAATAATGATGATAAAACAAACAAAAAAAATCTATAAGGGCAAAGCTTCCCTCAAATGGGAACAAATGGAGTCCATACCTCTACAGCCACAAAGTGAGCATAAATGACAGAAACAAGTTGGGTAGATGTGATATAAAGGCTCCACCCTGAAGGAAGCCTCTTCATAGTTAACCTCCAGAACAGAATCACTGTATCCAACCTTATTGATATCTTGTTTACATAAGTAGAAAGATTGCCCAGCGCATCTTCATCTGATGAAATATCCAGTTATAATTGCAAAAAAAGGACAATATTTTATCCAAACGATTGACCCGACTTCCATTGGGAGGGTAAGGAAGGAGTTTTGGTGTTCTCCTGGGTGGTAGAATTGGCAGCAGTTGCCTGGGGATGGGGGTTGTTTGACTTCCTCTGGACAAAAGCTGCAGGCGTTGTAAGATGTTAAACTTGATGGATGTTAGTCTTTTAATCCTTAACTATGAAACATCAATCTTGGTCTTCAAAATAGAAGCTTTTATGTGACATGAGCTGCCCAGTTTGATGGAGCGTTTTTGTGATTTGAATCTGTAACTCTTTTCCCCAGCCTGCTACTACAGGAAACCTATGGAGAAGAAGGATTTTGAGACATGGCTTGAAAACCTTTCAGTGTCCTTCTTCACCTTGACTGACCTGCAGAAAAATGAGACGTTGGATCACTTGATCAGCCTGAGCGGGGCGGTGCAGCTGCGGCATCTTTCCAATAATTTGGAGACTCTTCTAAAGAGAGATTTCCTGAAACTTCTTCCACTGGAGCTCAGCTTCTACTTGCTAAAGTGGCTGGACCCGCAGACCTTACTCACATGTTGCCTGGTCTCCAAGCAATGGAACAAGGTGATAAGTGCCTGTACAGAGGTGTGGCAGTCTGCATGTCGGCGTTTGGGCTGGCAGGTTGACGACGCTGTGCAGGATACTCTTCACTGGAAGAAAGTTTACCTGAAGGCCGTCTTGCGAATGAAACAGCTGGCCAACCATGAAGCATTTCAGACTGCGTCACTCATTGGGCACAGTGCCAGGGTTTATGCACTTTACTATAAAGATGGCCTCCTCTGTACAGGTGAGCATCAATGGTTTTATCATCCTGCAGAGGGAGGTGAAGCAAGAGAAACATTTTCATAGGGAGATGTATTGTGTTTTTTCTCTGGTACTCAGCAGTTCCAAGCATCAGTATTGATGCTAGCAGCCCTTAACCCCTTCATGACTGAGCTAGTTTTCAGGTTCTGTTCATAAATGACTGACACATTTTTTTACATTTTTGCTGTGTGATTCTTCCACAGCAGTAATATACTTTCTTACTAAATGTACCCACACATATTATATATAGTTTTTTAGAGGACAGATAGGGCTATATAATTATATCACATATGTGTACCTAACCCCTCACTTAGTTTGAATAAAATAAAACAAATGAGGAAAAAAACTAGAAGAAAACACTTTTTTCACAAGTTTTGATTATTATTATTTTTTTTTAGAATTTTTTTATATTAAGTATAAAAAATATATTTA